AAACCTACACTACCCCCAAAACCCTATCTATTCAAAGAATTGTCCCTAAACCCCGACCCTAAACCCTAACATCATGAGCCAGGAAACTAGACCATTGGATTCATCACCCAGTCCATGTTGACAGCTAAGTTGGTACCTTTTCCACCTTCAAGACCCATCAATAAGACTCATGAACTCTCTTGACAAGGAACCCACCCTCGGGACCCCAACCGCCTGTCTAACCTTCCGGAATCTCCCTGTCACACCTTATGATTCACCTTGAATTACGTACTTCAATTCGGACGTACCATTCATCTCTCTCACTCTTGTTCCACAGCCCTGTTCACCCATCACACCTTGAGACCCTTGAATCTTACCATTGGACTCTGAGCGATCACCCAAAAGACGTCCTTTAGCCGCATTCCTTCTACAGGGTGGGGCCCCCTTACTATACTAACTGTAGTTAAGGGACTTATAACCTAACTTAGGGTCCTTACAACCCAATTTAGGGCCCTTATAACTCTACTTATAAATAGGGGCCCCACCCTGTATACTCTGCCCGGATGCTGCATTCACTGTTGAGCACGACTGCTCCTGAGGCCTTCGACCCCTCGCCAATGATTCCACACCCAGTTCTCAGGAGACTTGCCTGCCGTTTTGGGCTTCAGGGTTTAGGGTTTAGGGTTTAGGGTTTAGGGTTTAGGGTTTAGGGTTTAGGAAATAGGGTTTAGGGTTTAGGAAATAGGGTTTAAGTTTAGGTTTAGGCTTTAGGGGGGCAATCATGAATAAACTTGTGAACCCCTGTCTAGTACAGGGGTTGAGGGATTAGGTTTAGGGCTTGGGGGTATGTACATGGCCTGCAAGCGGCACCTGGGTCGCAAGTGTACAAACCCTAAACCCTAAACCCCAAACCCTAAACCCTAAACCCTAAACCCTAAACCCTAGACCCTAGACCCTAGACCCTAAACCCTAAACCCTAAACATACACTATGCAGGTAGACATGGCCTTCAGGGATCATCCGTCAAGAGTCGGGTTCCCCACTCCCCTCAGTTGTTCATGACAACTTGTGCAAGCCACCGAGATCTAGAGTTGAGGGTTTAAGGGCTTCGGGTTTAGGGTTTAGGGTTTTGGGTTTAGGGTTTAGGGGTTTAGGTTTTAGGGGTTTAGGGTTTTGGGTTCAAGGTTTAGGGTTCACTGCTCCCTCGCACGTTGTGGAGGTAGAGCCCCTAGCAACACCTGGGAAGTAGTGTCCGAGGGCTTGTGGAAACTTGGCTTTCGCACGCTGCCTTCGTATGTAGCCTTCTGCAGCTTTGCCCTAAACCCTAAACCCTAAACCCTAAACCCTAAACCCTAAACCCTAAACCCTAAACCCTAAACCCTAAACCCTAAACTGACAGACCAATTAGTGGTGACGTCAGCAGCTGTGAAGACAAGGCAACTCATCATGAACCCCGTTGACAAGACTCTGAAGCAGGCCAGACCCACAGGGTGGGTTTAGGGTTTAGGGTTTAGGGTTTAGGGTTTAGGGTTTAGGGTCCCCTAGTTATAAGTAGAGTTATAAGGGCCCTAAAGTGGGTTATAAGGACCCTAAGTTAGGTTATAAGTCCCTTAACTACAGTTAGTATAGTAAGGGGGCCCCACCCTGCAGTGTTCGGCCAATGGACGCGGCTGACAGGGCTTAGGGTTGTTTGGGGTTTTAGGTTTTTTTTTGGGATTTAGGGTTTAGGGTTTGAAGAGCTGAGGGTCTTATTGGCCCACTGGTACCCTTTTGCCTTTTTTGGGTTTGGGGTTCCGTTCTAAAGAAGACCCAGCACCCAAAAAGGGCACAAAACTCTTTTGTAATATTGTTACGGGGCTACTAAGAGGTTGAAGGGTTTAGGCCTTTCGGTTCGACATTTAGGTGAGGGTGCTAAGCCCCAGAGGAGCAGAACTTCGACTCATCAAGATGCAACCTTGCCTACCTGGGACCCGCCTTACCGACAGTTATATGGTTTCGACCTACGAATCAAGGGTGGGTTTAGGCCTTATGGTTTAGGGTTTAGGGTTTAGGGTTTAGGGTTTAGGGTTTAGGGTTTAGGGTTTAGGGTTTAGGGTTTAGGGTTTAGGGTTTAGGGTTTAGGGTTAGTTACTACTAAACTGTAGGTAAAGAGGGTCCCAGGTAGACCCTGCAATTGTAGGTGCACTTTCGGCGTACCTACTTGTCATACTTTGTCATACTAGCCGGCTCTTGCTGCTATCTGCAAATCTACGTTCGCAAAGATTGGGTGCACCTCGAAATATGGATGTGTCTTCATCCTTGGCAAAAAGGTTGGTAAATACTGTCTTCATCCTTGGCAAAAAAGTTGGTAAATACACACTTGTGTGGTGTGTGTATGTATGTATGTATGTATGTATGTATGTATGTATGTATGTATGTATGTATGTATGTATGTATGTATGTATGTATATCTATATATCTATCTCTATATATATATATATATATGTGTGTGTGTGTGTATGTGTACACAGATACACGTAGAACATCAACACCAAAAATCAAAGCCCTAAAACATGAATGTATGTGCTCGCACATATACGCAAACAGATATGCATACGTGTATGTATGTATATATATATATATGCTTTATTTGTTTTTCTTTTATTTCTTTATCATTTTCTTACTTCTAGTTATGCAGAATCTTATACATGTGTATATGTATATATATATATATATATATATGCAACTGTAAGTATGTATGGAGACACAGAGAGGGAGAAAGAGAGAGAGAGAGAGGCTTGTAAGCCCTTTGTAAAGGAACAGGGCCCTTTGTAAAAGGAACAGGGTCCACTCCTACCCCTTCAGCCTTTTTCTTGATGTGAACCCTACAAGGAGGCTCCTATGTAGTTCCTTTTTTTGGGGTTGCTTATAGGGGAGTATAGTGTTAAACCCCAAACCTGAACCCGAAGCCCTAAACCCTAAACTACATAGGAGCCGTTGGGTAAACGCTAGGCCCTAGGCCCTATATCGTTTATTCAGGAAACCGTATTAAATCCTAAACCCTAAACCCTAAACCCTAAACCCTAAACCCTAAACCCTAAACCCTAAACCCTAAACCCTAAACCCTAAACCCTAAACCCTAAACCCTAAACCCTAAACCCTAAACCCTAAACCCTAAACCCTAAACCCTAAACCCAAGCTGGCTGAGCATCTGCAGGCGGGATTGCAGGACCTGCCCCTCGAGTCTGTCGACTTTAGCGGCAGCAAATCGAAACTGGACGGCCTCCAACAATTCAACCAAGAGGCGCCTCCGACCCAACAGGGAGCAGGTTTTACCCCTAAACCCTAAACCCTAGCCCTAAACCCGAGCCCTAAGCCCTAGCCCTAAACCCTAGCCCTAAACCCTAAACCCTAAACCCTAAAACTTTAAGGCTTAGGGTGTGGGTTTTGTACATGTTGCGGCTCAGGGCCCTCTCAGGGTCCAGGTACCTATACAGGGATCCCTGGTGCCCATAGCGGGCCCTAAGGGCCTATGTACCTGGATAGGGTTTGGGGTTTAGGGTTTAGGGTTTAGGGTTTCGGGTTTAGGGTTTAGGGTTTAGGGTTTTAGGCTTCAGGGTTTAGGCCATATACCTGGGCCCCTAGAGCTACGATGATGTGGGAACCCTTTTAAGGCCCCAGCATAGGCTATATGGGTGTATGGAGGCTTGGGGGTCTCGCTGCGGCTTCGACGCTGACCCCTAGTCCGAATGGTCTAATTAAATTAGGGTTTAGGGTTTAGGGTTTAGGGTTTAGGGTTTAGGGTTTAGGGTTTGGGGTTTGGGGTTTAGGGTCTAACCCCTAAACCCGAACCCTTGAACCAGAAGCCCCAAACACGAGGCCAAGCATGTCTATGCGCACTTGCTCAACAAGAGCCAGATTGAAGCGCTAGCCGCTCGCCTTTCCCTTGCCACCCCAAACAAACCCTAAACCCTAAACCCTAAACCCTAAACCCTAAACCCTAAACCCTAAACCCTAAACCCTAAACCCTAAACCCTAAACCCTAAACCCTAAACCCTAAACCCTAAACCCTAGCCCAAAGGGGGTTTTGGGGCTTAGCACTTAGGATCTCGTAGGGCCCCGAGCTGAGTAGAGCTTAGGTGTTGATTGGCGCAGCATGTAAGGCATTAGAATCGCCAGCAAAAGCTGTTTAGTTTGGTTTAGGGTTTAGGATTCAGGGTTCAGGGTTAAGGGTTTAGGGTTTAGAGTTCAGGGTTCAGGGTTTTGGGTTTAGGATCTCAGTGCTTGACAGCCTAAACCCTACAGGCACAGCTAGTTAGGCCCTTGTGACATTTCGTAGTTTCCTGAAAATGTTTCGGGTTTAGGAGGCTTATATGCAGGAATCTGGACAGAAGGGTTGTTTCAGGGCCATCATAGACAGCCTTCTTCCATGCCTTTGCATTTTCCCTAAACCCTAAACCCTAAACCCTAAACCCTAAACCTTAAATCCTAAATCCTAAACCCTAAACCCTAAACCCTAAACCCTAAACCCTGAACCCTAAACCCTAAACCCTAAACCCCTCATCTTTCCCAAAGCCGCTGCCTTGATTGAACTCGAAACCCCCGGAACAATATAAAAAAACCGAAGCCCCCAACCCTCAACAGCCCTGCCGTAAGCTTGGAAGGCCTAAGCCTCAGCGTTTAGGGTTTAGGGTTTAGGGTTTAGGTTTAGGGTTTAGGGTTTAGGGTTTAGGGTTTAGGGTTTAGGGTTCAGGGTACCCAAACCCTAAAACCCCTCCCTCTACAGGCAGACTGAAAAAATCATGTGCACGCATAGGATGATGCCCAAGCCCTCAGTCTCAGACCCTAAACCCTAAACCCTAAACCCCCGAAACCCTAAACTCCCTAAACCCTAAACTCCCTAAACCCCACACCCTAAACCCTAAACCCTAAACCCTAAACCTTGGCAAGCTTGAGGTTTTGTCTTCGACCCGACGATTGACACTAATTCAAGGGCCACCAGGGACCGGTAAGACCACGACAGCGGTTCAGATTGTCGCGGCGATGGTTCGGCAACTCGACCATGATGTTTTGTTTTTTAGGTTGTTTGGGAGGGTTTCGTGTTGAATGTTGGAGGTTTGTGTGTGTGTGTGTAGAGGTAGGGTTTAGGGTTTGGGGTTTGGGGTTTAGGGCTTAGACGCAGACTCAGCAGTAGGGCTTAGGTTGTTTCCCCCCGCGCAGGCACAGTGTGATCTCCTTTGGGGTTGGGAGTTGACATTTCTCTAAGGCCTCGATTCGGATTACGTTTAGGGTTTAGGGTTTAGGGTTTAGGGTTTAGGGTTTAGGGTTAGTGTTTAGGGTTTTAGGGTTTAGGGTTTAGGGTTTAGGGTTCGTTTGGGTCTAATTTGGGTTAAGGCGCCACCTCATGAGCCCACTGCGCTTGTGGCCCTACGTGCCGAGTCCATGCATCGGAATTCAGGGGCTGAAGCCCTCAACCCGTATCAGGTTTAGGGTTTAGGGTTTAGGGTTTAGGGTTTAGGGTTTAGGGTTTAGGGTTTAGGGTTTAGGGTCCCGTATCCCTGGACCCTAAGCCCTGCTTGGGGCTTCAGATTCTGGTGTTAAAAAAACTCTTTTGAGAAACTTAGAGGCCACATTGGGAGTGTGTCAAGGGAACCCAGGAGCGCGACGCTAAACCCTAAACCCTAAGCCCGAAGCCCTGAACCCCTGAACCCTAAACCCTAAACCCTAAAACCTAAACCCTAAACTCTCTAGATCCCTTGAAAGGTATGGCCTCGTGGATCTACCAATCCTTGTTACTGCCGACAGTAACACGGCGGTGGACAACTTAGTCAAGGCTGGCCCTGGCGGGTTTGGGGTTTAGGGTTTAGGGTTTAGGGTTTAGGGTTTAGGGTTTAGGGTTTAGGGTTTAGGGTTTAGGGTTTCAGGGCTTGGCGTTTAGGATCTTGGGGGTCTAGGCCGTCTAAAACCACAGAGGTTGAACCTTAAGCTATGTAACCCATCCTTCAAAGGTCCCGGCCACCGGCAAGTACCCTCTACTAGCTTCCTATCCAAAAAACCCTAAAACCTAAACCCTAAACCCTAAACCCTAAACCCCAAACAGGTGATTTAACTTTGCAGCATCTGGCTGAAGCACTTGTATGTCTAGGGAACTCGAATCCCGAACCCTGCCCTGCCCTGAAGCCCTAAACACCTCGAACCCCTAAAACGACCGCAAACTCTAAGTCTCCCAAATCCCCCCCCCCCCCCCCCCCCCCCCCCCCGCCCCCCAAATCCGCTCAACAACAACCCAAAACCCTGAACCCTAAACCCTAAACTAAACCCTAAATCCCCATAAGTCCCCCCCTAATCCCCTAAACCCAACACCCCCCTTCTTCCCCGAAGCCCCCTAAAGCCCCCGAATCCCTTCAGACCCCAGCCGCCCTTCTTGCTCCCGGTTTAGGGTTTGGGGTTTAGGGTTTAGGGTTTAGGGTTTAGGGTTTAGGGTTTAGGGTTTAGGGTTTAGGGCCTCCCTCGCGCAGGGCATCGGAAAGACTGGGGTGAACATCGTGAGAGTCGGTCGGCCAGAGGCCATCCGCGAAGATGTGAAGGCCTATGCCCTTGACGGCCGGTGGAAGGACCCGGGCCCTAAACCCTAAACCCTAAACCCTAAACCCTAAACCCTAAACCCCAAGCCCAAATTCCCAAACCAGGGTTCTCCGGGTTGAGCGTTATTGGAGTCTACGTACCGGCTCTTTGTGGAAGAGGGACCTAGCTTAGGTAGTTGGGAGTTGCAGCAAGGTGTTGAGGGTTCAGAGTTTTGGGTTTAGGGCTTTTTGTGCAGCATCGGCAGTAGAATTTTCGGCCCTGAAAGCCATTGGTCAGTCTGGGGGTGGGGGGGGGGGGTTCGAAAATCAGGGTTCCTTGTGTATTCCATGAAGGGGACTATCGAACTCTGGGGGTACCCTGAATGCCTAAACCCTAAACCCTAAACCCTAAACCCTAAACCCTAAATGCCCGAATCCGAATCAAGACCGCAGAGCTCCAAAACCTGAGAAGCCTCCAGCTGTCCCCCCTAATCTTATTTTTTTTGATTCGGGGCTCCTCCCCGCAAAGCCCAAAGCCCAGAATTCCACAAACTACCTTTTGGGGTTTAGGGTTTTAGGGTTTTAGGGTTTAGGGTTTAGGGTTTATAAGTTATAAGTTTAGGGTTTAGGGTCTAGGGTTTAGGCCTATGGGCCCTCAGCCCCGCAAGCCCTCAACAAGTCTCCGCGGAAGGATCTTAAGAAGGCCGAGGTGGTCTGTGCCACATGCATCGGTGCATCCGGCACCACCTTGGACAAGGCTTGGGAGCTTCTGCTGTTCCCACCCCCCCCCGGAAGTTAGGGAGGTAGGGGTTGAGGGGTTTAGGGTTTAGGGTTTAGGGTTTCGGGTTTAGGGTTTAGGGTTTAGGGTTTAGCAAGGGTTTTGGGTTTAGTTATTTTCTCATGAGGCAAACCCATGGTCCTTCCCCCCGAGTTCGCCCAACGTGGAGTTGCGGAGCGGTTGTGAACCTTGGGCGCCCTCAAGCCCAAACCCGATTCCTTGAGAAGTTCCCCCTATTACTAAAAGTCCTTACTAGTTAACACGTTTACTGTGGGGTTATAGAGCACGCGATTATGGGGGAACATCCATCCCAACCGAGACCCCAAATCCTACGTCCCAAACCCCAAACCTCCTTTTTGTTGATGCCCTGAAACCCTGACAAGAAGCCCTAAAACCTCAAACCTGGAACCCTAAGTCCTGAACCACCTTTGAAAGGGCTTAGGGTGTAGGGTTTGGGGTTTAGGGTTTAGGGTTCGGATCGAGGGGCCCAGAATTTCGGGTTTTGCCCTGGACACCTCGCTGCATGTGCCCAAGCCTCACCTAAACGTCCTGCACCCTGAACCCTAAACCCTAAACCCCAAACCAGTGTCTTGCAGATGCTGCCCTCCAATTCAATTCGCCTGCTTTGCGGCCAAAAGCAATGCTTTCGAGTTCAGGGTCATACCCTAAACCCTAAACCCTAAACCCTAAACCCTAACGACATCTCAAGACCAGGTGCGTTTTCCCACCGTCATCGTGGACGAGTGCACGCAAGCTGCGGAAACAGCCGCATTAGCATCCTGGCAGTCAGTTCCTCGTTTTAGGGTTTAGGGTTTAGGGTTTAGGGTTTCGGGTTTAGGGTTACGAAGACAGTGCTATAGGGCCTAAGCAACCTAAACCCACATCCCTGACCCTTTCATAGTGTGGGTATGGAGCTCAGCGCTCTGTTAGATTTGTCAAATTGCGGATTCAAAAGCTCCATACGACATGGCCTTCGGGTTTAGGGTTTCGGGTTTAGGGTTTAGGGTTAGCATCTGGGAAGCTGAGTTGTGCTTGTCTTGTTCTTTCTTGTTGTCATGGACCAACGGAAGATACGGGGCCAGCAAGCCGCTTAGGACGTCGGGCTCAGGTATCTGGTAACCTTGTGAAACCGCAGTATGTATTTCACACAAACAACCATGCAGACACCAAGCCTATACCAAGCACCGCGCTTCGCCCACTCGGATGGCTATGGCCGCGCTGCACACTTGAGACCGGAAGCCCTAAACCCTAAACCCTAAACCCTAAACCCTAAACCCTAAACCCTAAACCCTAAACCCTAAACCCCAGAACCCAAGAGCCAAGAACTCAGAATATGTCGCAGGGCGTGTCCTCCAAACCTTCATTGCACTGCTTCCCCATTCATCCCCAATGCCCTCTACGCATGTGAACATGTTCCCACAGGAAGCAGTAAAAGCAACCCATTTCGTGGTTTAGGGCATGAGGTGCGACTGAGGCATTCGAATTTCCGAAACCGCAAACCGGAAACCGCAAACCCTAAACCCTAAACCCTAAATCCTTAACCGCAACCAGGTCAACAAAAAGGCAAGGTCGCCAAATCTCGAAGCCCAGAAGCCATGTACACTCTTATCCAGTAATTGCTTAAGAACCCCCCCGAATAATAAACTAAAAGAAATCCTCATAAGGGATTCTTATGTTTTATTCTTTTGGGGCAAATAATAGCTATAGGAACCGTTTCGGAGCTCTTACGGGGCTAGGGTCTACTGGGGTAGGTTTGAACAAGCATGCTGATTACCCTCAAATCCCCTATGGAATCCAAATGAAGCCATGAACATCTCATTGTTACAGGGCCCCAAACTTACCCCAGTCCAGGGGTTGAGGAGTTTAGAGGTTTGGGAGTCCAGGGTATAACCCTAATTCCTAAACCCTACACCCTAAACCCTAAACCCTAAACCTCCAAGTGGGGAGGCAGGTGAAGAGTCGCTCAGGTACCCATCGCCAGAGGCTGCCAGCAGGCAATCCTGATCGGCGACCAGTGTCAGCTACCGCCCACAGCACCTCGATCTTGCAACCCCCAACCCTCGACCCTCAACCCTCAACCCTAAACCCTCAGCCCTTAACCCTAAACCCTAAACCCTCAACCCTAAACCCTTAGCCATCCCCCGAACCCGAACCCTACCTTCTAAGCGTGGGCTTGGGGGTTGAGGGGGTTGGCTTGCTAGCCCAATGGTACCCTGCACCCTTTTTTAGGGTTTAGGGGTGGTAGCCAACCCCCCCCCCCCCCCCCCAAAAAAAAAAAAAAAAAAAAAAAAAGTGCCCTCACCCTAAACCCTAAACCGTGGGCCACCAAGTTAAGGTCTGGGCGTTAGAAGCAGGGCTAACGGAGACGCACTAAGTATCCCAGACCCCTGGGAGGATCCAAAACAAATGGATCCCCTTAAGGGGTTTCGGGCTTGGGGTTTAGGGTTTAGGGTTTAGGGTTTGTTTAGGGTTTAGGGTTTAGAGTTCCTAAGAATGACCCAATAGTAGTACAGGGTGCTATTTGGGGGTTCTATGTTTTGGATCCTCCCAGGGGTTTGGGGATTAGCGCTTGAGAGGATTCGGGGCTTTTGGCTTGGGAATAGGGGTTTAGGGTTCAGGGCTTATGCCGTCAAGATTCAAGATCCGGGTTGCGCTCAGAGGTTTTGTTCCGCGTGTAAGTGGGATTATAAGCCCTAAACCCAAAACCCCTAAACCCTAAACCCTAAACCCTAAACCCTAAACCCTAAACCCTAAACCCTAAACCCTAAACCCTAAACCCTACACGCAATCAGACTCTCAACCCGAAAGCCTAAACTGCAAGAAGTCCTTTTTGGGGTTCAGGGTTTTCGGTGGGAGGATCCAAAAAACAGAACCCCCAAATAGTACCCCATACTACTATTGGGTCATTCTTAGGAACCCTGAAAGGGATCTTTTTTTGGATCCTCCCAGGGGTCTGGGGAAACTCGAAGCCCCAAACCCTAAGACCCTAAACTTGGAATGTTCCCCCTTATACTAACAGTCCTTCATGGGGATTCTAGTTGGGGTACCCTGGAATCCCTATCAAAGACTGTTAGTACAAACCCTAAACCCTAAACCCGAAACCCTAAAACCTAAACCCTAAACCCTAAACCCTAAACCCTAAACCCTATAAACCCTAAACCCTAAACCCTATAAGGGGGAGCATCCCGACCCTCCAGGTCTTGTCGGACGTCGCCGAGACAGAGAACCTTGGCGAGTCCATGTTCACGCGGCTGGTGACGCAGGGCGTTCGGCCGGAGCCTCAGTTTGCTTCGTTCTTCATTTTGTTTTTAATATATATATATATATGTTTTTTTATTCTATTTTTTTTTTTTGGGGGGGGTTAGGGTTTAGGGCTTAGGTTGTGGGTTTTAGGGTTTTAGGGTTTAGGGTTTTACGGTTTAGGGTTTAGGGTTGTATCCCAGACCACTGGGAGGATCCCAAAAATAGAACCCCTTAAGGGTTCCGAAGAATGACCCAATAGTAGTATAGGGTACTATTTGGGGGTTCTATTTTTTGGATCCTCCCAGGGGTTTGGGTAAGGTTGGGGGCTACTAGGACCCAGCACAGGCCCTTGTTTCCTTGTTTTAGGCCTTAGGTTCCCTTATAGGCCCCTTTTTTTCAACCATGTCGTGTTTTGGGCCGGTTTGGGGTTTAGGGTTGAGGGTTCATGGTTTCGGATAGGGTTTACAGGGTTTACAGGGCGGATAGGACTTCTGGGGTTTACAGGGCTTGTGGATTTACAACGGTTTGCAGGGTTCATTGGACTTTCAGGTTGGGACATTTCGCCTTCTACTAGCAGTCCTTAATGGGGAATAAAATAGGGGGTACTATAATCCCTATTAAGGACTGCTAGTGTAAGGGGGAACATCGCAATTTACAGGTTCTTATAGGGCTTGTTGAGACTTCTGGGGTTCCGGGTTTAGGATTCAGGTGCGGGCAGGAATCCCAGAGCCTGACGTGCCCTAAGCCGTCAACCCCCTAAACTCTAACTTTGCAACCCTTTGTGAGGGGGGGATGATGAAGAACACATTTTAAATTTCTATTGTGTGCTAATCCCCAATATATCCCTAAGAACCCAAAAAGTTAAAATTGTCATGGGGTGTTTCAATCCCCGTAGAACCTCAAGCCCCCAAGCCCCTACTAGACCCGAATATCCTAGAGTTCCGGCGTGAGGGTTTAGGTTTGTTTTCGCTTCCCCTAAACCCTAAACCCTAAATCCTAAACCCTAAAGCCCCCCCTTAGGCCCTAGGCCCCAAGCCGGAAAGCCCTTAAATCCACCCCTGAAGCCCTTAGACCCCGCCGGTTTAGGGTTTAGGGCTTAGGGTTTAGGGTTTACGGTTTAGGGTTTAGAGTACCTGAACCTGAAAACCCGCCTGCGGTTCCAGGTTCAGGCTCCAGAGTCCCAGGACTACGGCTCAGGGTTTGGGCGCTAACCCTAATTAAACCCTAAACCCGAAACCCGAAACCCGAAACCCTAAACCCTAAACCCTAAACCCTAAACCCTAAACCCTAAACCCTAAACCCCAATTCCTGCAGGCCCTGTCTTTTGGACACCCAGTACCGCATGCACCCGTTGGTGGCGGAGTTCGCCTCGGCACCACGGCCGTGCTGGTTCTAAATAGGGAATCTAGGGTTTAGGGTTTAGGGTTTAGGGTTTAGGGTTTAGGGTTTAGGGTTTGGGTGAAGGGATTCAGACCCGTAGCCCTAAGGTTGTACCCCTAAAGGTTCTCCTTAATATACTCTAAATATGGCCCGTATATCCCCTTAGGGATCCTTCAAAGGGACCCCGGAACCCAAGGTTACAACCTTAAGAGTCCAAGGTAGAACCCCTAGATCAGGGTTTAGGGTTAGCACAGAATGAGGTGATCAGGTACCTTGTGTAGACCCTTCTACAAACTGTTTATTGGATTCTATACTGGGTCTTGGAGTACTATACTTTAATACTTTTTTGGTTCTGGGTTCGTATTATAGCTACGTATAAACTTTGTTTCAGGGTCTTCTCCAAAGTATAGGGTACCTCATTCCCTCACTCCCTTCTAAGAACCAGTAGGACTGGTTTGATAGCGATCCCGGGTGCTTTCGGGAGCGCGGGGTTCCTGGATTTACGAATGGGCTTCGTCCTAAAGCCACTTCTAGTTAGGGCTCTGATGTAACCCTCAACCCTAAACCCTAAACCGTAAACCCTAAACCCTAAACCCTAAACCCTAATCCCTAAACCCTAAACCCCAAACCCTAAACCCTAAACCCTAAACCCGAAACCGTAAACCCTAAACCCTAAACCCTAAACCCTCAACCCTCAACCCTCAACCCTAAACCCTAAACCCTAAACCCAAGCCAACCTTCAAAAAGAGGCAGGTTCCGGGTTCTCCAAAAAGTGGTCTGGGAAGGGGGAGCTCCCAGGTTGTCCCATGTCCAGGGTTGGGTGGGCCCTAGGATTCAGGGGGTTTAGGGTTTAGGGTTTGGGGTTTAGGGTTTAGGGTTCAGGGTTCAGGGTTTAGGGTTTGAGGGGGTTTAAGGCTTCAGGAAGTTTAGGGGGTTCAGGGGGTTTGGGGGGTTCAGGGGGTTTGGGGGGTTCAGGGGGTTTGGGGGGGTTTCAGGGCGTTTGGGCGGCTCAGGGCTTGGGGCTTCTGGTTTGTAGGATTTGTGGTTACAGGATTTAGGGCTTATAGTGGGGTAGCCCTAAACCCTAAACCCTAAACCCTCTAGCATCTCGTTTCAGGCGGCCTTCTACAATGGGCGGCTGCAGAGCCCCGGCTGCAGACCCCAACCAGTAAAAACTAAAAACGCTAAACCCTAAACCCTAAACCCTAAACCCTGAACCCTGAACCCTGAACCCTAAACCCTAAACCTTAGCCCTAAACCCTAAATCCTGGGCCTTTTTCGGGCCAAGGGTTTCGGATTGAGGGGCCCTGAACCCTGAACCCTAAACCCCAAACCCTAGAAGGCCCGGAAGCCCGACATCTCGAACCCTTTAGTTTCAAAGCCTGAACCTTTTGACCCTAAGCCTTCGTGAACCCTAAAACCGTTGAGCCGGCTAAACCCTAGGGTTTAGGGTTTTGGGTTTTGGGTTTTAGGGTTTTGGGTTTTGGGTTTAAGGGCTATAAATCCTACAAACCCTGATGGGTACCTCCTTTAGTCCCCTGATAGACCTCGAAGCATTTGGGGGGTAGGGGGTACCTTAGGGGGGTATACAGGTATGGGTATGTCTCTAAAACTAGGGTACCTTTTTTGGGATCCCTTTTTTCAAGGGTGCCGCCTTGGAATAGGGTACCCAAAAGGGACACCAAAAGTAAGCCGAAGTTTTTTGACCCCCAAAGCAACACTAAGATGGTGGCCTTTGGAGCCCCTGTAACACGGGGATTTTGAACAAGCACTCTTAGGGGGGGGGGGGGGTTACGGTTTAGAGTTTAGGGTTTAGGGTTTAGGGTTTAGGGTTTAGGGTTTAGGGTTTAGGGTTTAGGGTTTAGGGTTTAGGGGGGATGTGGGTACCTTGAAGAGCTTGGTTTTCAAGTCGTTTTTGTTCTTGTTGCTGCTATGGGGGGGGGGGGGGGGTGAAGCCCGGTATTCGCTTTTCACTTGTCGTTTGGGGCCGGGGACAGACAAGTTTGAGGTCCTTTTTTTTTTCTCTCTCTCTCTCTCGCTTTTCGGTGGCCCTAGAACCCTGCCCTAAACCCTAAACCCTAAACCACAAAACGGGTTTAGGGGTTTAGGGTTTAGGGTTTAGGGTTTAGGGTTTAGGGTTCTGTTCAAGGAGTCCGTCTGTTTTAAAATTGCGCCTCCTGAGTAGGAAGCTCCTTGGCGGTGTGTGGGGTCTAGGGTTGAGAAACAGAAGCCCTACTCGGCCCTCTCCTCAAACCTACTATCCCCTACACCCTGTCAACCCTAAACTTGGGATGTTCCCCCTTATACTACAGGGTGGGGCCCCCTTACTATACTAACTGTAGTTAAGGGACTTATAACCTCACTTAGGGTCCTTATAACCCAATTTAGGGCCCTTATAACTCTACTTATAACTAGGGGGCCCCACCCTGTAACAGTCTTAAGAGGGATTATAGTACCCCCTATTAAAAATCCCGATTAAGGACTATCCCCTAATTAAACCCTAGACCCTAGCCCTCTAAACCCTGAACCGTTGACCGCCCAAACCCCATGCCCAGGAACGGCGTGTCTCACATTCACCGCAAGCCTCCAGACGGCTTTCCATGGCCTCAGAGGCCGTAGTTTAGGGTTTAGGGCTAGGGTTGAGGGTTTAGGGTTCAGGGTTTAGGGGGTTTTAGGGTTTATTGGGGTTGAGGGCATTGAGGCTGAGAGTTTGGGGTTCACCCGATTTTCACGACCCCTTGGTAAGGGCCTTGGGGTAGCTTAATGAGGTTTCTGTCTCAGAGTTGACTTGCGGCACCTTGCAGGTGGCATTCTAGGATGCCCAGTAGTGCCCTTATTCCCTTTTTGGGGGGTTCAGGTTCCCTTATAAACCCCTTTAAGCAAAAAAGGGCACCCTTTTTATCCCAGGTTACTGGGCAACCCAGCATTAGGAGTGTAGGATGTCGGCTTATATGGCACACCGACGGCGTTCTTCGCAGGCTAGGGACGTATTGGATATTCTTTAGGGCACGTTGGGGTCTTGAATTCAGAAGCATCGGGGACTACGAACCTAGAGTAGCCCCAAACCCTAAACCCTAAACCCTAAACCCTAAACCCTAAACCCTAAACCCTAAACCCTAAACCCTAAACCCTAAACCCTAAACCCTAAACCTACTCAACCCCTGAACCCTAAGCCCTAAATCCGAAGGGTAACTATGCCATACGCATGTCCCGGTTCGAAGGGTACACAGATGGCTCTGCTTGGATAAATGTAGGGCAACAAGTCGAGCCTAAACCCTAAACCCTAAACCCTAAAACCTAAACCCTAAACCCTAAACCCTAAACCCTAAACCCTAAACCCTAAACCCTAAACCCTAAACCCTAAACCCTAAACCCTAAACCCTAAACCCTAAACCCTAAACCCTAACCCTACTTAAGGTAGCCTAGAGCTAAACGTGTTAAACTTGAGGGTTGTAGGAACCTTGTGTCTGTGACCCCTCAACCCTCCCCCACCTCAGCAACCCGCAGATTTAGGGCTTAGGGCTTAGGGTTTAGGGTTTAGGGTTTAGGGTTTTGGGTTTTGGGTTTGGGTTTAGGGTTTAGGGGTTGGGATGGCCCCTTGATCTCTGGAAGGCACATGCCGGTGGCCTTCATCAACTTAGAGAAGTGTGAGGAGAAACGCGAGGGGCATGGCTCTTCCTACATCAATCCAGCGGAGGCGCCTGGGAAGGGTGTATTTAGGGTTTAGGGTTTAGGGTTTAGGGTTTAGGGTTTAGGGCTTAGGGTTTAGGGTTTAGGGTTTAGGGTTTAGGGTTTAGGGTTTGGAACCCTGATCCCCTGAACCCCTGAACACCTGAACCGACGTGACTGTTTCAAGCATGAACTGCAAGAACACGCTTGAGCCTTCCTAGAACAGGAATGTGCCCAGATTTTCCTGGGTTTTGGAGTACTACACTTTAATACTTTTTTGGGTTCTGGGTTCCTATGGCAGCTATTTATACCTAAACAGTATTTTCCAGGGTCTACTCCAAGGTAGGGAGGTATGTGCCCAGATTTTCTCATGTAGTTGTTCAGTTCAAGCTTGAGAGTAGGGTTTTGACTTTGGTGTTCAGGGCTGAGGTTGGGAGAGCGTGACGCGGTTCCACATCCTGCAGTTTGTTCAACCCACTTGGCCAAGGACAACATCCCTCAGAAAACGTGCAGACCCTATTTGGGTTTAGGGTTTAGGGTTTGTAGGGTCAGCCTAAAGCCCAAAGCCCTAAATCCCATTGCATCCTGCTAAGCCACGAGTCCCCTACCATTGGGGTTCCCTGTGTTCTCTTCTCCTTGGCTACGCGGGGGGGTATCTCAGCAGCTGTGAACTTCTTTCCTTTGATAACCCCCAATCCCCTTTTCCCCATGCTGAACCCGTCAAAGCCCCTCGAAACCCCTTGAAGCCCTCTTAAAAATCCTGAAGCCCCCCCCCCCCCCCCCCCCCCCCCCTTGAAAAGCCCAGAGGCCGAGAAGACGATGTGGGCGCTTCTCGAGGCGACTGCTGGGACCCGGGGGTTTAGGGTTTAGGGTTTAGGGCTAAGGGTTTAGGGTTTAGGGCTTAGGGCTTAGGGCCTAGGGTTCTAAGGTTAAGTCGGCATAGGGGCTAGGGGGTTTACCTGAAGGCTCCAATTTGTGGTTCCCTTTGCGGTTACTTAAGGGTGTGATAGTGTACTACACCACAAAAAGATACTACATTAGGGTTCTGAATGGTTAGTGTCCAGGGAGTTACGGGGGGGGGGGCGGTTCGGGGTTTAGGGCTTCTGGGTTTGGGAGGAGGCCCATAAACGTTTAGGGTTTTGGGTTTAGAGTTTAAGGGGGTACAGGGTTTATGTTGGGGGTTTGGAACCCTAAACCCTAAACCCAAATTCCTAAACCAACAGCCGTTGATTTCGGGTTCCAGGTCACCAAGAACGGGAAGATTGGCCCGGAGGACGTTGGCATTGTGCTTCTTGGCCATTTTATGAGCCCTAGGGGCCTTTCGACCCGACAAGCCCCACAAACCCTGACCCTAAACCCTAAACCCCTAGAACCCCTAGAACCCCTAGAACCCCTGAAACCCTTAAACCCCTAAACCCCTAAACCCCTATACCCCTAAACCCCTAAACCCCTAAACTAAACCCCTAAACTAAACCCCAAACCATCCGGGAGAATATCTCGGAGGCTCTGGGAATCCTCCTTGGAGGTTCATGGTACTTATTAACCATTGATTCTATGTACTTATAACCCACTTATAAGCCCCTTTAAGTTCCCTAATATGGTTATAATTGCAGTTGTAAGTACAGTAACCCTAAACCCTAAACCCGAATATGGTTATAAGTACAGATAAATTTGGTTAAGAAGTACCATGAACCTCCATGTCATTTCGAGTTTCTTGCGGGAGAGGCTCCATCTCTCCTGACAACCCACAGGGTTCAGGGTTCAGGGGTGTGAGGTCCAGGGCTAAACCCACGAAGTATGAGCGTTATCAAGTTAGGAGTAGGGTTTAGGGTGTCGGGTTCAGGGTTTAGGGTTTAGGATTTAGGAGATAAGGGCAAGCATTCGCCAGTCAAGCAGCTTGTGAAGTGACGGAGAAATTCCTACCCGCCCATTGGGTTGACAGGGCCTACGTAGGAACTCGTCAACGACGTGGACCACCTACGCATTGAGGAGACCCCTCGAGAGTAGGGTTTTCGGCTTTGCGGCGTAATGAGTTCATGGGTCTGGGATGGCGTAAGGCTAAATTTGTCCAGAGGCCTAGCCTTATCGTGAGTTTCAAAGGGTACATATACCGAATAATCATAATCATTTCTATACTAACTATAGTTAAGGGACTTATAGCCTTAGTTAGGATCCTTATAACCCAATTTAGGGTCCCTACAACTCTACTTATAACTAGGGGGGCCCCCCTTTGCAAAGCCCAAGGCCAGTGGCCTAAACCCTAAAGCCCTGGGCCCTGGGCCTTAGCCACGAACAAATGTGCCTTAGCACGAAGAAATGTGCCTTAGCCACGAAAGAAATGGGCCTGAACCACGAAGAAATGTGCCTTGGCCACGAAGCAATGGGCCTTAGCCACGAAAGAAATGTGCCTTAGCCACGAAAGAAATCGGCCTTAGCCACGAAGAAATGTGCCTCAGCCACGAAGAAATGGGCCTTGCCCACGAAGAAATGGGCCTTAGCCTTAGCCACGAAGAAATGGGCCTTAGCCTAGGGTTTCATATACAAGGTAAGAGAGGTTTAGGGTTTAGAGTTAGGGTTCAGGTTTTTTTTGTCTGTTGTTACAACCTCAAACGCTCGTTAGCCCAGCTTGCGCTTGCAAGTGACCCCCCCGAGCTGTGCTCAAGCTCCCGCAGACTGCGCTGGATTCAACTCTACCTAGAGTAAACCCTAAACTTAAAACCTTAATCCCTAAACCCTAAACCCTAAACCCTAAACCTTAATCCCTAAACCCCAAACAGGCCCGACACCCGACACCTCAATGCGAAGGCCCGTTTAAGGGCCGCGGAGGTTTCTCGAAAAGGGCACAGAGCTGACTCTGGGTTGCCATCTTACAACCCTAAGCCCTAAGCCCTAAACCCTAAACCCTAGAACCCTGAACCCTAAACCCTAAACGGCCCTAAACCCTAAACCCTAAGTTCCCCGTTTAGGGTTTAGGGCTTGAGCCCCTCGACGCCCTAAGGACTCCGTACAAGGGGCAGGTCCGACTCCTGAAGAAGCTCATCAACGAGCGGCCGGGGCTTCAGAAGCCCTCCGGCCCGCACCAAGGGTTCAGGGTTTGGGGTTTGGGGTTTAGGGTTTTAGGGTTTAGGGTTTAGGGTTTAGGGTCGAGGTCTGGCGTCTTTGGGTAGTGTTGCTTGTGGGTATCTCCTAAAATGGGAGGTGCCCTGTTCCCCCAAGAGACGAAATTCCTGTGCTCTGGAGCCCTCGTATGTTTACATGTATATATATATATATAAGTCTAAAAAAACAATATATATATATATATATACAAAAAACTTTTTTTATTGGGGGGGGAGGGAGGGGGGGGGGGGGGGGGGGGGGGGGATTATTTTTCAGGTACAGCCCTATATGCACCGTAACCTCATGTACACTCAACCTGCAACCCTAAACCCTAAGACCTAAACCCTAAACCCTAAACCCTTAACCCTAAACATCCATGTTCATGCAGGTTCCGGTCTGGCTTGGAAGTCGAGTCCGTCGACAGATTCCAGGGCCAAGAGAAGGAGGTCTGGAGATGTTAAGGGTTCAGGGTTTAGGGACCCTAAACCCTAAACCCTAGACCCTAAATTTACCAATAAGTGCTTAAGAACCCCCCAAAACTACAAAAAACAATGAAAACAGAAATAATAATAATAATCATCATCATCAGAATCTTCCTTACTCTGGGTAGTATAGGGGTTTTATATATTTTTTGGCTTCTTAAGCAAATAGTAGTTTAGGGAGGATGCAAAAGGTTTGCTGAGTTTGTCGTACCCTAAACCCTAAACCTTGATCCCAGGGTTTTGGGTTGGTGTGTGACAAGTACTGCAGTCCCCAAACAAGGGGACATCGGGGCCCCCTAGGCCAGGGAGCCCTCAATCCTTGGCCCTAGACCCTTAAACCCTAGACCCTCAAACCTAGACGGGGTCTGCAGAATTGGCTCGGCTGCCGTATCAATCCAGTGAGCCCCCATTATAAACCCTACAAAGCCTACAGCAGACCTGACAGTCGAGTCTACAGACCCTACGAACCCTACACCCTCATCCCTAAGGTGAGGGTTTATCCTTCTTTCGTGCTGTGGGTGTACATCGCTGCGCCCATCCGCAGGTGATCATCTTCTGCGCGGTTAGAAACAATCGCGGCTCGTCAGCTGAGCGTGTGGTTTATAGTGTGTATAGGGTTCATGGCGTTTCCATGGTTGTTTAGGGTTTGTAGGGTTATACTAAACCCCTAAACCCTCAACCCCTAAACCCTAAACCCTAAAGCCCTAAAGCCTAAACCCTAGGACTTTTAGGGTTTATAGGGTTTATCTGGTTTATAGGATTCAGGCCAGCGGCCATGGGTAGAAGTTTCGGTCTGCGTGGCTATTCCTAGAAAGCTTATGGCATCGCCCAAGCCCTCGACCCTAAAACCTAAACCCTAAACCCTAAACCCATATCTGAGCGTTTCTTCGTACGGGATAGGGAATGATACTGTAGGTGACCAAAAGACTCCCCCTAGCTGGACGATATAAATTTCCAAAAATCTTTACATATTCATAGTAGGGAACAACTACCGGACATGCTTACTAAGAATTCGCAAGATAAGCCTGCAGGCTGGAGGGGGGAGCCGTCGTAGTGCCCCAACCTACAACCTATCCGACCTGTGTTGCATCTCCTTTTTACCCAAAGGTCAACCCTTTGTCCCCTCTGGAAAGTCAGTAAGAATCGTCAACCCAAATCCCCTAAAGACTCAACCCCAATCCCCCTGAAGTCTCGACCCTACACCCCAAGCCCCCTTAGACCCTAAACCCTACTTGGAGGTTCATGGTACTTAGTAACCCCATCATAACGGTACTTGGAACCCAATGGTCGCCCTATTCGGATACTTAAGGGGCTTACATGTCGGTTATCACGACACTTTTAATGGGTTGCTCAGTACCCTGAACCTCCAAGTAACATCTAAACCCTGAACCCTAAACCCTAAACCCTAAACCCTAAGCCCTAAGCCCTAAACCCCAGGCGAGGGAAAGGTCGGCTTCTTGTGCGACTGGCGTCGACTCAACGTCATGCTCACACGAGCGCGTATCGGCCTCATCGCCCCCTGGCGGCAGCCTAGGATCGTGCACCCTATAGGGTCCATGTACCTACATTCGGGTTTAGGGTTTCGGGTTTTGGGTTTAGACAGCATATACTTGGGCCTGAACGGGGGGGTTCCCGTAGAGTGGCTCATATGCTATATAGGTACATGGGCCCTTAGGGATGAGGGTGGGTTTAGGGTTTAGGGTTTAGGGTTTAGGGTTAGGGTTTAGGGTTTAGGGTTTAGGGTTTAGGGTTTAGGGTTTAGGGTTTAGGGTTTAGGGTTTAGGGTTTAGGGTTTAGGGTTTAGGGTTTAGGGTTTAGGGTTTAGGGTTTAGGGTTTAGGGTTTAGGGTTTAGGGGGCTTGGGCGACTCTGAGCCTTATCCTGGCCTTTCCCCAGCAGCACGTACTGTTGGGTTTCAGTCCAAGCGGTTTCGGGTTTAGGGCTCAGGTTTTAGGGTTTAGGATTTAGGGTTTAGGGTTTCGGATCACTTTTGATTGGTCATGAAGCTTTGTTGTTGGCTCCTTGATGGGCGGCTTTTTTCAACACACTCTCGACGCCAGTAGCGAACCCCACCATCCCCCAGATGATAGGCAGTGACAGCACCCTCAACCCAAAACCCCTAAAGTTAGCTCTAAACGCTTGCATTGAAAGCCCTAAACCAGCCCCAAACCCAAAAACACCTGGTCATTCGTCTACATTGCGCTGTATAAGAAGGACCCCCCAAAAGGCGACCATATATAAATAAACCCTAAACCCTAAACCTTAAGCCACAAAGCCAGGTGATTGGAAGCCGCAGCACCCTCATGTCAGACCCGCTTTGGCACGAGTGGCTCATTTGGGCGGCGGCTCGTGGCGCGATCTGCCTCCCGCTTCTTTATTAGGGTTTAGGGTTGAGGGTTTAGGGTTTGGGGTTTAGGGTTTCTTCGCCTCAAACCCGAAGCCCTGAACCCTAATTAAGCTCGACCCCTAAACCCCAAACTCGACCCCTAAACCCGAGGCCCTGAACCCGAAGCCCCGACAACCCTGAACTGTGAATCCAAGACCCCAACCCCTAAAACTGAGCACTGACCCCCTGATGCCCCACCCAAAAAAACCTAGGTTGGTTTTTGGGACATGTTTAATTTTCCTTATTAGGGTTTACAAGGGACCCTATATGTAAACATTGTTCAGAGGGTTTAAAGGCCAACCCAAAAAACAAGCACACTTCTTGATGGTGCAGGACTTTTGGAGGGATTGAACCAGGAGAAACACACTGATACAGGAGGGCTCAACCCTAAACAATAAACCCCAACCTAGAAGGGATTTAGGGTTTAGGGTTTAGGGTTTAGGGTTTAGGGTTTCGGGTTAGCAGGCTTGGGGATTTAGGGGTCTAGGCTGTGGGATTTCGGGTTCAAGGTGCAACAACCTGGGAACCCTCTCAAAGACCTAAGCGCCTAAGCCCCTGCGATTGGAGTTCTTGGAGCCCGCCCAGAGAAGTCTTAACATCCACCAAATATGGGGTTTAGGGTTTAGGGTTTACGTAGGGTTTCGAGTTTAGGGTTTAGGACCCTTGGGATATTTGGCATTTTCCCTCTTATTGGGCTCAGGATCCCATTCAGGAACGTTGTTCGGAGGGCTTACTTGGAGCTTCATGGTACTTAACAACCCAATTATCACGGCACCTGTAACCTAATTCTAGGAACATTAGGGTATTTAAGGGGCTTATATGTGGGTTATAACTACACTTATAATGGGTTGCTAAGTACCCTGAACCTCCAAGTAAACTCTAAACTCTAAAAACCCTAAAAACCCTAAACCCTAAACCCTAAACCCTAAACGTCCAAGTAATGCGTCGACCTTAAAGCACTCCAAAGCCCTACAGACAGCCGAGGCGGTGAGAGCGCCAAGGGCACGTGGGTGCCCAGGCCCGCCACATGACTTTTGCCGTTTAGGGTATAGGGTTTAGGGTTTAGGGTTTAGGGTTTAGGGTTTAGGGTTTAGGGTTTAGGGTTTAGAGTTTTTAGGGTTTAGGGTTTAGAGTTTTTAGGGTTTAGGGTTTAGGGTCGTCAGGGTTTCAAGGGTTCCGGTCCGTTGCTGAGCATGCAGGGCCTATGGGCCTTTATCGGGTTTCTCTGTTCCAACTTTCTGGCCTGACGGGATTTAGTAAGGTTCCAGAGGTTTAGGGTTTAGGGTTTGAGGTTTAGGGTTTAGGGTTCAGGGTTCAGGGTTCAGGGTTTAGGCTCCAATGCCGAGCCAAACTTCAAGCAGCGCAAGCCTTACACACCCCATCCAGTCGAAGCCCAAACGCTAAAAAAACCCAAACCCTGCACCAAATTTCAACCCCTCTAAACGCTAAACCCTAAACGCTAAACCCTAAACCCTAAACCCTAAACCCCAAACCCTAAACCTTAAACCCCAAACCCCAACCCTGAACCCTAACCCCCCTCCCAAAAACCGAACAAAAAAAGAAGCAATGTCCGAGCCTAAGTTGCGACAGGTACCTTGTGGATGACCGCGATGGCATATGGACAGTGGCTCTGCCAGCTTTGTTGGGGCATCACTCGTGGAATTGGGGTTTCAGGGCTCCTCCAACCCAAAACTCAGGGTTAAGGGTTTAGGGTGTTGGGTTCAGGGTTTAATCCCTCAACCCACCCTAAACCCTAGACCCAAATCTTGAGGGGTGTCTTAGTCAGTGTTCGCAGATGGCGATTCCTAAGAGGGGGAACATTTCAGTCTGTACTTGCCCCCTGGAGACCCTAAACCTCAATAGCCCTAAACCCTAAACCCTGGAGTTATCTTGAACCCGACGTCACACACTCAAGCCCCCCTTCTTGAATGCAGCTGCTAGGTTCCCTTTTGCGAGGGATAAGTTCCCACAAGAAAACCCGTGAATAAGCAAAGAAGAAGCACTCCTAACCCTAAACCCTAAACCCTAAACCCTAAACCCTAAACCCTAAACCCTAAACCCTAAACCCTAAACCCTAAACCCTAAACCCTAACCCCCTCTCTTTCTCCTGGTTCACTAGGGGAGTTCAGTCCACACGCTGAGGTGAAACAGAGCGTCATCGAAAGCGTAGAGAAGGGCATGGCACCAGCAAAATCCTCCGCAGGCCGCCTGTCAGAAGCCTTTTTTTGGTCAGGGTTTAGGGTTTAGGGTTAGGGTTTTGGGTTTAGGGTGGCTTCCTGCCTCCCTGTGAGGGCTTGTACCCTAAACCCTCAACCCTAAACCCTCAACCCTAGGCCCTCAACCCTAAACCCTAAACCCTAAACCCTAAACCCTAAACCCTAAACCCTAAACCCTAAACCCTAAACCTAACTGCCAAAGTTCTAAGCCTTGATGTCGATACCCGAAGCTCGGTGTGTTTGGGGGCTCCCTGACCTCAGGAGGTGGGTTTAAATATATATGTGATAGAGAGGTTTAGGGTTTAGGGTTTAGGGTTTAGGGTTTAGGGTTTTAGGGTTTTAGGGTTTAGGACTTCAGGATTGAGGGTCGAGGATTTAGGGTTTATGGTCAGGACTTTAGGGTTGAGGCCTCTTTTGGAAATTTCGGCCCGATATTGCCCCTGCATAACCCCTATGTACCTTCTATCGTCCCTCTATACCTAAGTCGCACCTAAATAACCCCTAAGGTCCCTTGTAAGGGTCCCTCCTCTACAAGGAGGGGCCCCTTTACTATACTAACTATAGTTAAGTGACTTATAACCTGAGTTAGGATGGGTCCCTCCTCTAGCCCCTTGATAGAGGAGAGATGCTGCCTTCGTGTTCTCGGCCCCTTGGATGATCGGCATGTGGATGAGTATAGGTTTAGGGTTTAGGGTTTAGGGTTTAGGGTTCCTGGCGACTGGCGACCTGGCAAGCATTGCCCGGAGTGAGGCCCCATTGATGCCCAGGATTTGTCCAAGTCTCACGCACTGGCAGCTGCATCCAGGGTTACGCGCCTGCAGCCCGCTGTCCAGATGACGAAGAAGGGCTCGCGAGGAGACGTGCCAGAAGTATGTGGAGCACCACAAAAGGCCCTGCGTCGATCATGACATTACGGACTTCTGGGCCGAAACCTTGATATGAGCCGTTGACGTTTTGCTGGCCGAGATCTGCACCTCTAGGGATCAGGGGTGTTTAGGGGTTAGGGGTTAGGGTTTAGGGTTTAGGGTGCAGGGTTTAGGGATCAGGAAGAACCAAAAGCTCTGAACCCACTGGAGCTCTGAAGTGCTAATTCCCTCAGCTCTGCAAACCCCGTCCAACACTATCCCCTACAGACCCTACACCTAAAGAGACCCCCTAAACCGAACAGACCCCTAAACCCTAAACCCTAAACCCTAAACCCTAAACCCTAAACCCTAAACCCTAAACCCTAAACCCTAAACCCTAAACCCTAAACCCTAAACCCTAAACCCTAAACCGTGACTTCCCCCAGCCGCAGGTGTTAAGGAGGTGGAGCCGCAGAAAATCCAGCAGAAGGAAGAAGACATCCTGGACAGCTGGGAGGACACGGTTTCGGGTTTAGGGTTTAAGGTTTAGGGTTTAGGGTTTAGGCTTTTGGGTTTCGGGTTTGGGGCTTCAAGGAGTTTAGGAGGTTCGCAGAGCCTCGCTCCAGGCTTAGGGAGTAGGGTTTAGTTTAGGATTAAGGTTACGAAGGGGAGTCGTAGGGTTTAGGGCTGAGGGCCCCTAAACCCCAAAACTTAAACCCTAAAACCTAACCCTAAACCCTAGACCCTAAACCCTAAACCCTAAACCCTACACCCTACGGGCGCCAGAGACCCGGATGCGAGCCAAGAAGGCAATTGTAGCGATTTTTGGTGGCTCCGGGATTTTAGGCCACACAGGGGCTGACTAGGGTTTAGGGATTAGGGTTTAGGGTTTAGGGTTCAGGGTTTAGGGTTTCGGGTTTAGGGTTTAGGGACCCTTCCGTGAGGTCGAGACCTTACCACCTAGACCAGTTTGGGGCTAGCAGGGTTTTGAGGGGTTTAGGATTCAGGGTTTAGGGTTCAGGGTTTAGGGTCTATATGGTCTAGGGTCTAGGGTTTAGGGTTTCGGGTTTAGGGTTTAGGGTTTAGGGTTTAGGGTGTTCAGGCAGCAGGGTTTGTTTCTCCCAAAAAACTCAAAACAAAAGATGCAGTCAGGACTTTTGTGTCCTTGTGTTTAGGGTTTTAGGTTTTAGGGTTTAGGGTGTAGGGGTGTAGGGGTTTAGGGTTTATGCTATGTTGCAGTTTTGTTTGCGTATA